AACCAATTAGTCAAGTTCATTCCAAGGAACATATTACCTGCTTTGCAAACATTGAAAGAGACAGTTTTTAAAAGATCTTACTAGACAAGAAAATATTTGTGAGCGGCAGGAGTTTTTAGTGAGGTTCGAATCCCAGATACCCCACCTGCCGTGCGGGTGGGAATACGGCGACTTTCTACTGTAGAAAAAAAAAAGATGAAAATATTTAGAACTGACAGATTCCTAGTATTTCTTCAATCTCTTAGAGACTTCGGGTCAGTGGGGGACTTTCGATATAATTGAGTTTTAAATTGGATATTCTACTGGGAGCACTCAGAGGATTTTTTGAAACGACCTTTATAGCTTGAGACAAGGCATGAATGTAGTCCTTAGCAGCAGCCAGGGAAAGATTATTCCTAAAAATCATAAAGTACTATCGCGATAGTACATTAGCCCTGTAATCTGAATCCGGTACCGACAAATCAGACATTCTTATGATCATTGTTTTATATCTGAACACGTTATCCTTTTTCGCTAAAACACTATACATGTATTATTATCAGCACTTATCAAACTGTTTATCCGTAATCAATGTAAATTGATAAGAAGTTCAGTCTAAATGTGTCTTCAATGAATATCAATTTTGTAGTTATTACGGTGTTGCCAAAAATTGTGTTCTTTTGTAGTTGTGCCGTGTTCACCTTTTTTTTCACTGGAAAGACGAAACCACAACCGATCTGTTGATTAACCTGTTACTAATACTGCTCTAAAGCACCGGATTTAAGGCTGAATAATGGATCATTGATCTGGTGTTATTGGCTAATCCTACTGGAGGAGCCTTTGAGTTCACCCATTGATCCTAGCTAAGTAGTAAGGTCTCTCCACTATCCTTCTATCCCAAAAATCCTGACGTTATAGCATAGCTTTTGATTCTCAAAACCAGTATCTTTGTTGAAAATTCACTATCACTTTTAACCGACTTTAAAAAAGGAGGTTCTCAATTCAACTGTCTATTTTTTTTTTGTTACCTCATATCTTTTGACTCAGTGAATCGATTTTGAAGATTCTTTTTTTATTAGAACGCTGACGCTTCCCGTGTGGTTCCATTTCAACTTAGTCCAGTTTTGATAATGGCATCCATGAGAAAACCGTATGAGTCTTAAATTTGCATTAAGTACGTGCGCGACAAATAGATGAATAACTCAATAACTCAATATCGCGCCAACCGATTTCGATGATTATTGTTTTTAGTGTATATTAATTTATTTTGGAATATCTTTTTTTTTCTATTTGAAGTCGGTTTTTATTTTTGTTAAATTTTATTAGTCCATAAGCTACGTTGGTGCGTAAAATCACGAACCAGCAAATAAACTATCGCATATACATATTATAGCAGTAATACCCGATATTGCAGAGAACATATAATTAGCCAGCATAAAAATATGCAGTACATAATCACGTTATAAACTTTACGAAGCTTCATTCGAATCCGTTCTGTAATTTTAGCGTGATTAAGTAACAAACACCCAAACCTAAAAGCTTTGAAATTTATAATACAAATGTTTTTAACCGCAGCTTTACTTTAGATACTTATAAATATCTTGAAAACTGTTTTTCCTAGATCCGAGATATCCTATGTCATTTTCGGTACCCCTAACAAGAACTATGCAAAATGATCAAGACGTGAAAGCGTCACAAATAAAATAGCTCACTTTCCAATTTATAATATTAATAATATTATGGGTACTTAATTACTTATTCCTGTCATGCATGTACGCATTGGGAAAAACCTAACCGGCCACTAGAACATAAAAGAATAAGCATAACAACTGCAATGTTAGAGATAATTAGGGAGTGAAGTATGAAAATATTTGAGGATGCTGAGTGGATGGGTGAAAGATAGATGTGGTAATAGCCGGAGCTCACAGTATTCGAACACCATCATCCGTTTTGAATCTTGAATATCATGTAGTCTTGTATTTTCAAAGAAACAGAACATGCTATTTGCGACTCTACTTGTACTTTAAATGCGACACTAATTTGTCCTATTAATTAACCGTGTCACTCTAGTTGCTATATGATGTCAATTAAGACACATCGAAACAATTCTTTTATTTTTAGACCTACCGCCTACCTATCTTCTTTTATTTTTAGACCGCCTATTGTACAAATGCATATGCATAAAAAGCTGGGATATCAAAAAGATCGATGCCTTTGAAATGTGGGTGTCGCGGAGGATGCTACGAATACCGTGGACTGCCATGAGAACAAACGAGTCCATTCTAAGGCAACTAGACATCCGAAGAAGGCTCTCTTCCATCTGCCAAGAACGTGTTATGAGCTTCTTCGGACACATCATGCGGTCTCCCAGACATGAATTAGAGAAGCTCATAATTACGGGTCGCATAGAGGGCAAGCGCGCTGTGGGCAGAACACCAGCCAGATGGTCAGATCTAGCAAGAGAAGCACTCGGTGGTAGTCTGAACCATGCAGTCTATGCCACCCATGATCGGGCACATTGGAAGTACGTCGCATGTGGTCGCGATCCTCAGTAGTGAGGGAACGATATAGAAGAATTGTACAAATGGATCTGCTTTTTGACTGTTTTTTGAATGTAAATTGTGTTTTGGTGTGCAAGAAAGCGCATTCTCTCTCTCTCTTACCTATGTACATCTCTGAGTTTAAAACGCTCGATCAAATGAATCTGGCAGTACTGTGTGCGTAGCTTGTAAATTCGAAAAATGTCGACATAAAAATGACGTTTCAGTCTCGCGATGATTTTACGAATTTGATAGTTTTACAATATAATTACTTTGAAGTACAACTTATCTATATATTAATACGTGAAGCAAAAACTTTGTATCCCTTTTTACGAAAATTGCGCGGACGGAGGAGTATGAAATTTTCCACACTTATAAATAATATAGAGAAGAAGTACACAATGCTAATACTTTTTTTTAAATAATGCATAAAAGATACATTAAATCAATAAAGAAAACATTACACACACTACATAACTGTATTTGACGCACACACGCATGCATACTATTTATTGTCAACCTTTTGTTCTTGACGTCTGTTGTCAAATTGAGAATAGATTAAATATTGTTTGTATATTGTTAATATTTTTATAGTGTAGTCTTGGCGAAATTTGTGATTATAGAAGTATAAAATACAATCATAATAGTGTACAAACTTACAATGCCAATAAATTATAGTTGAATTTCGACTACTGCGGGACCTCTAGTTAAATGAAAATTCATAAAAATTTGCATCTCTAAAACTATGTGAATTGAAGTTTTGTTTATTGTTATCTGCTTAGTTTTCCTATGGTTCTTCAGCATTTAGGCTTCATTTGAAGATCCATTGTACCGATATAGGTGTATCTTAAATCTTTTTTTATTGCCTTTGTAGGCAAACGAGCATAAGGCCCACTCGATTTTAAGTGGTTACCGTCGTTCATAGGAAAAATGGTAAAAAAGAGATCAGGGGATCATCTCGAATAATTCCTCAGAGCATTCGCCACGAATCACATGCCAATCATACCGCCATAACGTGGATGACGGAATTTACATGGTGCTATGTATGAAGATCAATAACTGCTTATGCTAAGTACGCCAGAAACTGGTCCGATAATCTCGGCAAAAAAAATCATTTATTTTCACTATTACTGAGCTAATAAATACGAACTTAATTCTGGCCTTTAATAATACCATATTGTGTATCCCTGCCACAAAACAGATACAGGTCCTAGTTTGAAGGGTTGCACAACCATTATACCGTACAATTGAGCCTTCAACTTAGTGCTTCACGACTTTTTTAATGGTGGTAGGATGTTAAGGTGTTAGACTGTGGATAGGATGTCTTTTGAGCCCGCACGGGCTTGCACCACCACTTTGCATATTTTTGTCGTGTAGCAATCATGCGTATCGATACGCATTGAAGAATAGTGCCGCCACTATATAAATGTCTCAATGTGGGAGGCAAAATTCACGTTGCGATATCTATGGGCTCCGGTATCCACTTAATATCAGGACTCATTCATCAAAAGCGCCGACTTAGAAAGTAGAACAATACGATAATTCACTTGTACTAAATTGACTGCTTCCTTCATTACATTTATCTCGCTTGGAAAAGGGAACGTGTGACTGAATTGGTTTATGATTTTGAATCACTCACAATTTAAATAGAAGTAGTTTAACCTTATCAGTATGTCGTTAAAAACAAACACGCGATTAGAGAATACGACCGTGAATTCTGGATGAATCACATACGACGCTTGTAATTGCTATTTGATAACAATTTATGCTTTGCGAAAAAAAAAATTGAAGTCAAACAACAGATGTACGAGAAGCAAATAAAAAATATAAATTTAATGCACTCGACAAAATGACTGCCCAGAGGCCCTAACAAATTCGGTGAATTTCTCAATAGTATTCCTACTTCTACTTTAGACTTTAAATTGGAAAATAAATGCTTCACGGCAGAAAGAGATCGATGGAACACATTAGTATGAACTTACCGCTCTAACAATATTGGAATTGGAAGGTAATTAGGTATAGCGGTATATGAGCTTGGAAACGGTTAAAGATTAGAGGATATTTTGCTACTGCGGATGAGTAATAGGAATATTACAATAGCTAGGGTGGCTGGAGTAACGTAGCAACATCTCCTTTTAACTGCGATTTTTGTCATTGTAGGACCAAATGCCAGAAATATTTTTTTCTATTTAAATTATTAAGTCATAGCAGTAGGAAAAAGCTTAGGACTTTGTTATACACATATCTTATCATATGAGGGGGACACAATATTTCATGTTGCAATTTAAACTAATTTAGCTTGGATCGCCATTTTAATACTCCTTGCAACTTGGGAACCGGGAATTAGTAGTCTGAATTGGAATTAACATAATCACTGCAGATGATTGTTATGTACCTAGTTTAGGCTGCAATTCATATATCCGGGTAGATTTTAATCACATTTTTTTTATGATCTTAATAAAATTTTGATTTTCATTTCAGAGTAGACTATTCACCTCTAAATCGAACGACTTCGAAAACGAAGCATTGGAAGTCCATAATGAATACAGACGAGAGCATGGCGTTTCGCCTCTGGTGATCAATAAAGAAATCAGTAAAATTAGTCAGAAATGGGCTGAGGAACTTGCTAAAAGAGACAGTCTCGCCTACAGTCTGAACCAAAGGTATGGTGAAAGTGTCTACTGCGGATGGTCACCTGACCCAAATACAAAGATCAAAGCTAGAGACTGCGTAGATAAATGGTACAGCGAAATCAATGAGTTTTCTTTTGGCAAGGAGCCTGAAGTGTTGAACTGTGGTCATTTCACACAAATAATCTGGAGATCTACGAGTGAATTGGGGATAGGAAGTGCGAAGAGCAAGACTGGAAAGCTTTACGTCGTCGCAAACTACTATCCACCAGGAAATTACAGCGGGCTATTCGTTAAAAATGTTCTACCCCCTGGGGCTATGCAGTTCAGCTCTAGCTACAATAGCTCTCCTAGAGAATCGAACAACAATTTGGCTCCTCCTTCGCCAAACAGAATATCTCCTAGAGGGTCCTTCACTAGTTCTGCCCCTTCGTCTCCAAGTCAAAGAAGTAGCAAGAACATAACTGATCTGGCATCAGATTTTGTGAGCAAATTCAGATCAACTTCAATTTCCACAGAGAAATTCGAAGAAGATTTCTTAGCCGCTCACAACGACCACAGACAAAACCATGGCGTCAAGCCTCTTGTACTAAGCAAGAAGTTGTGTAAGTACGCCGAAGAATGGGCGAAAGCGTTGGCCAAAAAAGGCCAGACTGAACACAGAGATCAAAACGAATATGGCGAAAATATATTTTACGCTTGGTCCACGGATCCAGCATTCACCGTTTCTGGGCGTGATCCTGTCGATAAGTGGTACAGCGAGATTAATAATCATAAATTTGGTCGAGAACCTACGAATTTAGATTCTGGACATTTCTCTCAAGTTATATGGGAGGAAACTAAAGAAATCGGCGTGGGCGTTGCTAAATCGAAGGAAGGACAGGTTTATGTTGTAGCATACTATTCTCCTCCTGGTAACGTTATTGGTAGCTTCACAAAAAATGTCAAACCGCCTATTAATTAGTTTCACATTCCGTATTCACTGTGCCAAAGATGTAATTTTACATTCCTTTTTAAATATCGATAAGTTATTTATAAGAAGTTTAGGTTAAGTTGGCGACAAGATGCCACTTTGTTTATGAAACATATTTCATTTTAATTGTTTTATTTTAAATGTCATTCGCAAAACGAATTAAAGTATACTTTAAACAATTGTGCTTTACATTTTTTCCCTTGGTGTACTTTTCGCGAAGTATTTGAATAATTTGGCGTGAAGCAGAATAATTTGGCATGCGCTGTTTTCAGGGAAACTATATCGAAGTATTTAATTCACTGAATTATCACCTATTTTACTGTTTGAATTACAAAATTGCTTGGGCACAAATAAAATGCAGGGCCGTGGTTTCATTCCGTGCCATGAGTACTTACTATTCTTAAAATATATCCGGTAAAATATATTAATATACCGAGTATATGTCCAATACTCACCAATGCAACTTCTATGTGGCCAAGATTGTTATTGGTCCATAAGATGCTTAGCGATGAGGCTTAGGTAGATCGAGAGAAAAATAAGTTTCTTAGATCTTGTAAACGAATTTAGTCAGAAAACAATAGCCGTAAAAATTTACATTCCTTTCTCACAAAGCGGGAGTCAGTAATATCTGAAATGGAACCTAATCTGAGAGTTGACGAATTGCAATAGAGAAGAACTTTATTACCGTATAAGAACCCTTTATGAATAGGATTGTTTCATTGATACTACAAACTATTTTTTTCTCAATCGTTTCACTCTTGACAGAGAGGTCGTTGACCCTTCCCTATGAACCCTCCAACGCTACACGACGATCAATCTTAATCATAATAATAATAATCTTAATAAATCTCGCATAGAAGGCGGCAGATTTGATGGGTCTTACCATGTCTCACCATCGCTCTTTGCTCGAGAGCATGTCTCAATTGAGGGACCTCGGACTGTAGTCGTGGTCGGTCTACCGTTGGCGATCTCCCCCACAGTATTATGCCTTTTTAGTATGACATAGTAATTGGGCAAACTATAAAACCTATAAATAAAAAGATCTAGATTTTTGCTGCAATTAATTACATAAAAATCTAAATGGCCCGCAAAGACGAATGGATTCATAGTCCCATCATCCTCCTCCGAGGGATAATAATTTTTTTTATTGCCCTTGTAGGCAGACAAGCATACCTGATGGTGAGTGGCTACCGTCGCCCATGGACTTCAGCAATGACAGGAGCAGAGCCAAGCCACTGCCTACCGCTTAATACTCTCCACAAGCCTCGTTTGAAGAAGGACATGTCATAGCGCTCGGAAAACACCGTGGAGGGGAATTTAAATATTAAAAACTTCCAGCTTATGTCCCAAATTGGGTGGCAGTAATTTCTTTTTATGTCTGTTTATTTAATTAAAAATGCAACTCGCAGTGAAGATTTCCGGTCTATAAAAAGAGAAAAATATCGCTGTCAGCTCAAATTATTGTGACCATGAAAAGATCGGAGCCGAAGGACCACTAGACATTCAGTTAGCCAGTTCCGACTTGAAATGATGAAGATAGGGCACGGCGTCATGCATTCAGAGTCTATTAATAACATTTAATAAACTTATATGCTTAAAAAGCATTTATGAAGCGTTCGTGATTTTTTTATGCAACAATGAGTTGGTCTGATTGTTTTTTTTTTAAACCACAATAAAGGTGATAGATAGCAAATATATTTATTAAGTTGCAGTACTAAAAAAAATTTACAGTGTGTATGGGAAATGTTTTCAAAAACAGGGTCTGAGTTGATGATAGTCATGATGTCACTAAAAATCATATTCGATTTTTTTAAGGCATGCAATGCAACGCAAACAAAGGTCAGGTGAAGCGCAGAATATAGAATCGCAAGAGAAAGCGGGTTTTGCGTTGCATTACCGTTTGACGAAACATAAACCTACTTACTATACAGTAGTCTTATTTTTATAGATTATCGAGGTTTTTAAAGAATACTTCATGCCTGAATGAAAATATGCTGGTAACAGACAAGCTATGCGGAAGTAAGCCCAGAAGCAGAAGTCCAATGCGCTGCTTGGACCAGATACGCTCTACTCTCAATACTTCAGTTCACGATGTCATTCGCGTGGCCGAGGGTAGGCAGGGTTGGCGCAATAATCCAGGAAAAATTAATTAAAGGGGTCCACCACCCTCAAAAGTGAGAACTATGGACGCAAGAAGGAGGATCAATGGTTCCCGATAATCACTTAACACCAGACCGGTCGTAAGCTCTTTCACCGAATAAAAAAATATACGTACTTATTTTGTTTAAGTATTGGTTTGTACCCATTTCGACTTCACGGATTCATTCTGGATTGAAGATCCAACTATAATTTTCAATTCAGATAACCACCTAATGTCATTGTCTATCCATCCAGGCAATAAAAAAGATGTGGTGGAAGAGTGGAAAGTGGAAAAGGCTTTTTTAGAGCACACGGCTCACTTGGTTACTGGAGCCCATAGACATCTACAGCATAAATGCCGCCACCTACCATGAGATTTGAGTTCTAAGGTCTCAGTTTTTACAATACAATGGCTGCCCCACCCTTCAAAGCGAGATGCATTACAGCTTCACGGGAGAAATAGACAAGGCAATGGTACATTCCCGTAGACGCCCTAGGACCAATAATTACGCAAACTATATCTTTTCGGGTCAACTATTTTACTTACCTAGGGTGTTCAATACTAATTTAATAAATGAAAACATATTAATAAAACCGCTTACTTAATAACTTTTCCTGTGCAAACCAATCATAAACCACTTTTATTTTTAAATAGATCCTAAATAAAAAAGTAATGTTTCAATTTCGTTGCCGATTATTTAAAGGCATTCCCATTTCACGGTATGCATTCAATACGGCTCGAGCGAGTTTATGCAAATGAAAAAAGTTTCATCGTCTCTCGGCAAACATGAGAAGCAGTATCTTAACCGGCCATCGGAATGTGGCGATGGAAAGTGTTTTAGCGATTTTATTTCTTATGGTATGTATTTTAAAATTACATTTTAATCGTCAAGAGCCGCATTTTCATTTTTTTATCTCTTAGAGCCCGTCGCTTGCTCGACGAGTAAATTAGCTCATGGACACAGCCCACCCATAGACACAGCCAGATCTTCTCAGTGGGTCGCTTTTCCGATCAGGTGGTAGATTCTGAGAAGCACTGCTCATGCTAGGGCCAGTGTTAGCAACACTCCCGGTTTAAGCTCCGTGAGCTCACCTACACGTCAAAGAGAAGGTGAAATAGTCTCTCAAAGCTATCAGCATACGTAGAAGAAGAAAGAAATTGGACATAGCAGTAAATATATTAATATTATTATTATTTTCTTCAGAGTAGCGGTGTTTTGTGTTCATTACGGCGTAGTGAAGATCTTTACTTCAATAGAGTCAATAACATAATACCGGTAAGAGGGATTTTATTTATTGATTAACATCATTATATGAGGTAGAAGGCTTTTACAAATCTGATTGCTTATCTAATACTTATTATTGAGAAATAGGCGGTAGCTAGCGCAATACTACCTCGGGCGGAGATCGGACGTCGGATGAGTGAGTTCAGGGGAGTCGTTTGGTACGGTAGGGCTCTGAAAATATTCTTGGGCTCGCGGCTTATCCTATCATCTGCAGACTGTCAAGTGCCACGTACCCAGCGTGCCCCCTAAGCGCGGACATCTCGTAGAAGGTGAGACCCTCTGCGCGAACAAAAAAACAAACTCAATTGGCGTCGAATAATAATACCTTAATCGCCCGCGACCACGAAAACCGTGCAGTATTGGAAACGTAAAAATAATAATAATATAATGTTAATAATTAACGCGAGATAATAATCTGTAAAAGCAATTCTAATTATGTACTTGTTAAATTTATTTCGTTCGTTAGCGATTCACCGCCGCAGAATCAGTTGGGGCCAGCCCCTTTGTTGGGGACAATACATTAAAATCCTTGGTCTTTCATTTTGTGACGTTGCGTCAAATAAGAAAGCCCTAATTTTAGAATTGCAATTTCTCAGTCTTTGTTTTCGGAAAATAATGAAAAACACCGTATAATGAATCAGTGGCTATCCGGTAAGGAGTTTTTTTTTTCCTACCTAAGCCTACGAGAGCCTTGAGAGGCTATTTCAGCGTAACCTTAACTAGTAGGTGAGCTCACGGAGCTCAAACCTGACGACGTTACTAACACGGACCCTAGCAAGAGCCGTGCTTCGCAGAATCTACCACCGGATCGGAAACGCGTCCCACTGAGAAGATCCGGCGAGAAACTCAATGGGCTGTGTCTGAGGGTTCCAAACATTTTCTAACACTTTTTAGATTTTCGGTTCACACGTCACGTAATTTGAGCATACATCAAACTTGGTATGTTCACTATACCCTTCAAAGGTACTTATAGATGACAAAGTGCCAATAAGTCTATACGTGACGGAACTTCCTGTTCCTTATGTGAGAGGGGTTTCGTGACTGATATATTTTATTGACTTGACGTGAAATTGGACCTTGACGAGTTATATAGAATTTGCCCGACAATTTCTTATGGCCTATTTCTAGTGTTTCCTTCTATTTGTTTCTGTTAAATAAAATTTAGTTCGGGTTGTCGATTATATCATCAAATCAATTTAAAGATTATTAACCGCATATCACTGTTTTCTTTAACATTCCTATCTTCTTGCTTCATTTATATTACATAAGGCAATACGTTCAAAATTATATTCAGAAAATAACCATTGCAAAACTGCATTTTGAATATGCCATTTCAAATAAACGCTACGATTTCAGGTTTGAATAACACAAAACAGATATTTGGAAACATTTTGATTTTTATAACATTTACGATATCGCGTTCGTGCTCGATTTTCGTAGAGGGCGTGCATCATATATTTAATTCCAGTAGTGATGTGAAAGGAACGTCGATATAAAATTTATTTTTTAAATCAATCTAGAGAGTGTTTTTTCCGAATAGCATATCGTGGCTGTCTAACCAAAATCTGCTATGTGCAAAAACTCTATTTTGAATTAACGAGTAAAAACTTTTTCGTATAAATTTTTATATGAAGGTTAATTTTTAAGAACTATATCAAATGAAAGCTATAGATATATAACAGTTTTTTTTTAACGGTTTATAGGGCTGTGAACTATACGAAAAGGTCAAAAAGTAAAAATCTCAAAAAGTGCA